ACCCAGGCTGGAGTGCAGTGGCATGATCTCAGCTCACTGCCACCTCTGCCTCCTGGGTTCAAGCGATTCTCGTGCCTCAGCTTCCTGAGTAGCTGCAGTTACAGTCCTGCACTAACACACCCAGCTAATTTCTGTATTTTTAGTAGAGGTGGGTTTTCACCATGTTGGCCAGGCTGATCTCAAACTCCTGACCTCAAAGAATTCGCCCACCTTGGCCTGCCAAAGTGGTGGGATAATAGGCGTGAGCCACTGCACCTGGCCAATCTTTAAGAATATTCATAACACCTTCATAATAGAGTTGGAGGCAGCCTGAAAGAAGAAAAAATAAGGAGTTGGTTAAATTAACAATGGCCCAGCTTGTGGATGTTGTGAAGCAGTGCTTCTCAAAATGTGGCCTGCAGACCCCCAAAGGTCACTGAGGCCCTTTCTGGAGGTGCCAAAAGTCGCAACTATTTTTATGTTAACATTAAAACATTATTTGGCTTTTCACTGTGCTGATCTTTGCACAAATAGTGCAAGAACAATAGTGGGTAAAACTGCTGGTGACTTACCACAAATTAGCAATGGCATCAATAATCATTATTTTACCATTATTATTATTTTATTATTACCAAGCACTCACAGACATACAAATAAAAAGAGCCAGTTAACTTAAGAATCTCCTTGATGAAATAGTAAAAAGTATTAATTTTATTAAATCTGACACTTTGGAACACAATTTAAAATATTCCATGTGACCCAAAGGGAAGTATGCATAAAGCACTTCCGCTAGGATGGTCGCCTTGAGGAAAAACACGCATGCGATTGAGCTGTGAGTTAAACTAGCTGCCTTTCTCATGGAATACCAGTCTTTCTTGAAACAAGGACTGACAGCAGGGCTGTGTTACACTTTCATGGCCCTAGGCACTTTTACCTTCCTGAGTTCCCTCTTCTATAAAACGATAGAAACAAAATTTACAACTGTTTGTAAAAAGGCAAATATATGAACAATATATATTAAAATATTTTCTTCAATATAAAAGAACTAACCTTCATTTTATTCTGATTTTATTTATTTTTTATTTTTGAGATGGAGTCTCACTCTGTCACCCAGGCTGAAGTGCAGTGGCACAATCTTGGCTCACTGCAACCTCCACCTCCCGGGTTCAAGCGATTCTCCTGCCTCAGCCTCCCAAGTAGCTGGGATTACAGGCACATGCCATGCCTGGCTTTTTTTTTTTTTTTTTTTTTTTTTGTATTTTTAGTAGAGACGGGGTTTTCACCATGTTAGCCAGGATGCTCTCTATCTCTTGATCTCATGATCTGCCCACCTTGGCCTCCCAAAGTGCTGGAATTACAGGCGTGAGCCACCGCACCCAGCCTTATTCTGACTTTAAAAGAAATTTAGATATCTCTGTGGTCCCGTAAAGTCCTGGGGGCCTGAGTACTGTTTCTAATGGAGAAACTACAACTGACAGACAAACTATGGGTATTCAGAATTAGGTGTATGTATGAATGCTCCACGAGGCACAGTCTTAATATATAATATGAATGTATTTGTCTTTATACCAGTGCAGTTGTCTCTTTAGTGAAGGAAGTCGCCCATGAAGGCAAAAATGCCTATGGCCCTTTAAAGTTCATAACATGTTCCTTTGTTTGTGATAGACATTTTCTTGAAAATGAACGAAATGAACCTGTCCCATCTAGGAAACTCACTGTGACAGTGTGTTGTCAGTGATAAACTTGAGCTTTCAAGCAGAAATTACAATTTTGGGAAACTCATATCTGCTACCATGGGCTTGACAACTTCCCAATACTTGAAAACCTTCAGATGAGATCAGTGGTGCTATTAATAGATGCGATTTTCTAATATTGTACAATGAAATGTGTTTACATTTGGAAGATCTGTATAAATCAGTGAACTGATATCTCCCAAATGGCCAATATATGATTTTACTAAATCATGCATGGCTAAAGGACCCAGACAAAATATGAAATAGGCCAATGGATTTTGATGTATTAACTGAGTTAAAAAGTTTATTGATTTTTTTTTTCAGGTTTTACATTGCACTTAACCTTTAAGAAACTACTCCTTCTTGCGTTTTGGTGTAGGGGGAAAGAAGAACATCTGTAATTATCCGAAAAAGTGATTGAAATCCTCTATTCTTTCCCATATACGTATCTACATAAGCCTGAATTTTCTTCACATATTTCAAACGAAACAACATGTAGTGACCGACTGAATGCAGGAAGCGACAAGAAACCAGCTATCTTCTTTTACACCCGACATTAAAGAGGTGTGCCAAACTGTATAACAATGCCACTCTTCCCATTATTTTTGTTTGAAAAATACAATTATTTTCCTAAAATATATTATTTACGTACTATGACTTGTTTATATGCTAACATTTTTTAAAAAAATAAATATTCACATTTTCTCAGTTTTTATTTCTAATAAAGCAGATATTGACAGATGTAACCTGTAAAACAAAAGCTCTTCAGGGTTCTCAGTAATTTTTAAGAGGGTCAAGGGAAACCCAAACAGTTCCAGTAATGTTATTGTAGAATAACTACCCGGTAAAATGCTCATAAAGCACCATTAAGTTTAAAATGCAGGTGACAATCACTAAACAGAGTAGAAACTCTATATGTTTAATATGAAATAGATGTAACGGCTGGAATGGAAGCAGCCTGTTCCTGGCAGTGAACGTAGACTGATTTTCATTTTTTAAGCATTTTTATTTTCCACATTTTCAGAGTGAGCATACTTTTTTTTTTTTGTAATTGGGAAAAATAAAAACCTTTAAAAGAAGCAGCAGCAATAGCAGCAGCAGCTGGCATACTTCTCTGAGCCAGATTAGGGGAGGGGACAGGTCACTGAAGTGGAAGAACAGGAACTACCAAGTGCAGGAGGGGAAGGGGAGAGAAGGTGGAGGCTTCTGGAGAAGGATGAGGTCAGAGCTGCTGCATTGAACAGCTCCAGAGGAAGAAGGTCCTAGTGCGTTTTATGAGAATGGCACGCTGTGGAGGGACATGGAGGTGGAGGCGCCCCAAGATCAGCTCTTGGAGGAGTGTAGACTTTAACTTCACCTGGTGGTCCCTCAAGAACTGAAAATCCTTGCCCAAGGACCTAGAGAAGGATCGAACCACAAGGTGGGGCATGGGGGGAGGGTCTCTGCACCTTTCCTGACATCCCTTCCTTAGGAAATCCTCATACATCCATAATGCTTTGTTTTGGGACCAAAAGCATCATAAGCATCATAATTTTTTCAACTTCATCTCCTGTTACTTTCCCCTTCACCCATTCTACTTCACCCATTCACTCATTTGGGAAACTCGTATCTGCTACCATGAGCTTGACAACTTCCCAATACTTGAAAACCTTCATATGAGATCAGCGGTACTATTAATAGACGTGACTTTCTAATATTGTACAATGGAATATGTTTACATTTGGAAAATCCGTATAAATCAGTGAACTGATATTTCGCTAATGACCAATGTATGATTTTACCAAATCATGCATGGCTACAGGACCCAGTCAAGATATAAAATAGGCCAATGGATTTTAATTTATTAACTGAATTCAAAAGTTAAGACATAGTCATAGTTAGAGACATAGTCAAAAGTTAAGACGTAAGTCATAGTCAAGATACTCCCCGTGTCTGCACTGTTTTGGACACACTCCTACTCCTAGCCTTTGTACTTGCCATTCCTCATGCTTGGAGTAATTTTTCCCCAGACATCCCGCAAGCCTTGCTCCCTCAGTTTCTTCAGGCCTTTGCTTTAAAATGTTGACTGCTCGGAGAGGGCTTCTCTTACGTTTGAGCCTCTCATCTCACACTCTTACCTCACACTTCCTATTCCCCTTCTCGGCCTTATTTTTCTCCACCGCATCAAGACCCTCTGACATATCCTCTCTTTTGTTTTTCTTTCCCCCACTAGACTGCAAACTCCAGGAGGATAGATATTTCTGCCTGTTCTCTTGGATGCTTCATACCCAGCACCCAAATTGATGCATGACACAAAATACGTTCTCAGTACTTAATTGAATTAACGAATGCATGAATGGCAAGTATTGGACATTGTTTTGCAAACTTTTAAAGTAAGGCGTAAAGCATCCAGGTGAGGTGGAGGTTACCGCCACTGCGATTCCCAAGCAGCCTGAGGACTGGGGGGTCTCTAATTACCTCCATAATCCCCAGCAGCGGCACTTTAAACTTCACATCAACCCTAAGAGATGTGTATTACTATCAAATTTAGTTCACAGCTGGGTGGAGAAGTGGCTTCCCGCTCCACACTTTGGAGGGAGGGGAGTAGAGGAAAGACTACTATTTAAGTAGCCCGGATGGGGCACTAATGCCTTCAGGCGGTAAACCAATTTAGGAAGGCTTGGCGGGCTTTGTGGCGGCCCCTCCTCTTTCTGCCAGTCAGTGGGGTTTTTTTTAAGTGTGTGATGATAAAGAATCACTGTTTATATTAGTAATTCCCAACTTGGGTCCGAAAGCGAACTTTTGCTGAAGCGAAGTAGGAAACTGCTTCCAGGCGCAAGGCAGGTTCCAGATTTCGGGGTGATGGGGGGGTTAACTGAAGAACCCCAGGGGAGCCGGGTGCGCAGTAATTGATCTTGGGACAGACACCGGCTTGGGGGTGGCCTGTATCTAAAGACAGCTGGGCCTCTGAGGCGGGGGATGGGAGGGTTGGCATTGACTGGGGAGGGAAGAAGGATCGCGATCCTGGGTAACCGCCGTCGTGCCTCCCCACTGGGTTAGTGGGAAGGTTCCTAAGGATGGGTGGCGGCGACAGTCCCGTGCTCAGGGCCAGGCACACAGCAAGCGCTCACTCGAGACGCAGAGGCGGGGACGCACCCTGGAGAAGCGCCTCTCGAGGGGAGAACTTGGCCCTTCCCAAGGACCGGGCTCTGGGCCCCCCCGGGGTCACGGGTTGGACCTCGCGTCCGGGGCGCGGGCGGGTGCTGGGGCGCACAGCGGCAGGCGTCAGTGGGCAGGGCGCGGGCCCGAGGTCAAGGCCGGAGCGCCGGGCGGCGCGGGCGCGGCGGCCGGACGCGCGGGGCCGAGATGGGATGTGACGAGCAGCGCGCTGTGCATTGTGGGAAGCCGGCCGCGAGGACTGGTTCCAGTTCACTCGGCAGCGGCGCCGGGCGGAGGGGGCGAGCGCGGGCCGTGCGGGCGGGAAGCGAAGAGGCGGGCGGGCCAGCGAGGAGCGCAGAGAGAAAAGGCGCGAGCGGCCGAGAGGGCTCCAGCCGAGACACCTTGCAGCTGCCGCCGCCGCCGCCGCGTAAGTGCCGCGGGGGCCCCCTTGCCGCACGCCCTGTCCCCGCCGCTCGGGTCCGGCCGCGAGTGCCCGGGAGCGGCCCGGCCTGCGCACACCGGGGTGTCGCTCGGCCGGGCTCGGGCCGCCGGGCTCCGCGCGGCCCACGCCGGGTTCTCGCGCGCGCACGACGCTCTCCTAGGCCCTGCCGGGCCGCGCGGGATTCCCTTTGGTTTTGTTCAGAAAACAAACCCGGAAACCAACTTCTCTTCGAAACACATCCCCTGCCGGCTCCTGGGCGCTTTTGTGGGAAAAAGACCGTGCTGGCGCCTCCCCTGGCGACCCTTCCTGGGGCGGGTGCACGGGCTGGGCCCACGGGCCGGGCCCGAAGCCGCAGGAGGCCCCGCTGCGCTGGCTGGCTGGCCGGCCTGGGCCTGGGCGCCCGGGAGCTGCTGTGCGCGGAGTTGTACTTGGTGAAGCTCCCGCCGGCCCAGGAGTTGCTGGCCAGGGCACAATAAGTCGGGCCGGAGCCTTGGGGGGCCGAGGGGTAGGCGTCTGGCTCGCTATCTGCAGGGAAGTAGGGCGGGAGCTGCTCATGGGACTGAAGCCGGGCTGCAACGGGGGACGGGTTTGGGGAGGTGGTACAAGGATGGGCTGGAGAAGGGGCCACGGGAACCCCCGCTGCTCCCGATGGTCTCGGTATCAGCCTTTTGTTTGCTTTGTGGTAGGAAGGGTTTTGTTTTGTTTTGTTTTTTTTAAGGTAACTCCGGAAGGCTGTAGGCTTCCCTGGGTGGAGAAGGCCAGCAGGAAAGAGCCTCGCTGGGGGTGGGGTGGAGTGGGGAGGTGAGTGCGCAGGATGCTGCTGGCAGTGTCACCTGACAACAGGTGTGCGACATGGCGCTCCCCACCCCCACTTCTGCAGGGGCCACAGATCACTCAAGGAGCTGGTCAGTACCTTGCTTGAAAGCTTCTTTTAGACAAGATGTTAGGAGAAATGTTTCTGAGTTTGAAAGTGAGAGACTTCTGTACAAACAACTGGGACAAACGTTGAATTTAACAATTACAGTGACTATAAAGTCCTTGTAAGATCTTAATTACCCAGTAAACAGCACATAAGAATAGACAAAGGGGGCACTCCTGCTAGCTTCCCTCTTTTCTTCCACCTTTGTGGTTTGAGGTTTTACCGTTAAAGTGAGGGGGAGTGCTTTGTTCCGAAGCTCCTTGCTCCAGGGAGTCGGGCATTTTTTTAACAATCTTAGGTTTGAGTGGGAGTCTCGAGTTGTAAATTAGGTGGAATTCACCTACTGCAGGCCAGTGTTAGGCTTCTAGCTTGCTGTCAGAGGTGTTAACTCTGAATAGACACCTTATGCCTGCAACTGGAATTAATACCCTTTGTACACATTTAACCAAAGTTGGGCAGCAGCATCTCGGTCTTGCACAAGAGACTCTCCAATGAGGAAGAGTATGTTTTTAAACTTACTTTTTCTTTTCTTTTTTTTATTTTTTTGAGATGGAGTTTCGCTCTTGTTACCCAGGCTGGAGTGCAATGGCGCGATCTCGGCTCACCGCAACCTCCACCTCCTGGGTTCAGGCAATTCTCCTGCCTCAGCCTCCGGAGTGGCTGGGATTACAGGCACGTGCCACCATGCCCAGCTAATTTTTTGTATTTTTAGTAGAGACGGGGTTTCACCATGTTGACCAGGATGGTCTCGATCTGTTGACCTCGTGATCCACCCGCCTCGGCCTCCCAAAGTGCTGGGATTACAGGCTTGAGCCACCGCGCCCGACTAAACTTACTTTTTCTTAAACACAACAACAAAACTCTTGAAAGACTTCAAATTCTTCCCCCTTCTGGTTTTACAAGGAGAGAGAAATCGCTCCAGTCTGTTCTTTGGTTTTGATCTGTTACCATTGTTAATGCTGATCCCTGGATAAGGCATTAAGAGGGGTGTGTAAACGAAAGTTGTTTGAGGTGAGGCCTTTAGAAGGAGGCACAATATAACTCACATTTTATTAAACTTTGAGAATTGTCTGGAACATCACATGTGGCATTCTAATACGCAACCACGCCACTGGTTTAGTTTTTACCAAATGGGCCAGTGTCAGGGAGTGGTTCATCTCCATCTGCTGTTTCTTCTGGTTCCTGAGAGAGGAGAACTTGAGGAGTGCCTCTCCTTCCTTCCCCCATTGAGAAGCTCAGAGTGCATGTGTTCTGGGACCTGCCTTCAGAGCTAATGCGGCCCCAAGTCACCTAAAGGAGATTTATTTAAAAGCATAAACTGAAAACCTCAAGCCGAAGAACCCAACAAGACTCTATATGTGGTGTTCATCAGAACTGCAGCAGCCTCTGGTTCTTATTTGAGTCTCCCCAAGGATTTGTGACAGGCTTTTCAGAGCCCCATTCCCAGAACGTGGGCTAGGAAGGGGCAGAGCGAGTGATGCTCAGATCTGTCTGTGGGTTCTTCCCACATTCTGTAGATTTAGAGGTCCATTGGACCCTGCCTCAGCGATTGCAAATGAACCTGAGTGAGTCAACTCTTCATTCCTAAGAGTTGTATAGCTTGTTTGCTTAGACCAAACCTGTCAGGTCAGTGTCTCACAGTCTTTCCATAAATATTTCCTGGGAATTAGCTCCTGTTCAGGCACTGGGGACACAGCCATGATTAAGAAATGCCTAGCCCCTGCCCTGGGGGAGCTGACGTTAGGGAGAAGGCAGGCAAGTGGCTGTTGTGAGATCAATGCAGAAGGCCCCAAGTAGCCCCCAGCAGGGGGCTAACCTAGCCAGGAGTGAGCCCTTATCTGACGTGGAAAGTTCAAGTAGGAGTTGGCTGGGCAAAGGAGGGCAGGTGGGGACAAGTGTTTGAGGCCTGGGGAACCACACGTGTGCATCTTAGAAGAAAAGGACAGAGGTTATGTGGGGAACTGCCAGAGGCTCGGGATGACTAAGTCCTGGTGGGGAGTCAGATGAGGCTTCAGGGAGGGACAAACAGGACAAATTACAAAGGATCCTGGGCAGACCCACACTGTATCCTAAGAGCAAAAAGAACCGCTGAAGAGTTCTAAGCCCGAGCGAGACAGGCTCAGGTGTTCTTTTTATTCTTATTGGGAACACGTCTACTCAATAAATACTGAGTGGATTCTGCATGCTAAGCCTGATCAGAGTCCTGCCCTCTGAAGCCCACACTTTAACTTTTCTCTAAATGGCCTTATATTAGACTGGTTGGTTATCTTAGAGTTTGGCACAACCTTTAAGAGAGAGAGGAATATGTAGGAAAGTGTTTTTGTAAAGTAGGCAGGCAGCGACTTGCTGTTAAAATGTAGAAAGCTGCACAGTTCCTTCAGTGCATCTCTGGGAAGCACATCAAGGAATGGGTTTGCAGAGGTGAAATTTCAACCCCAGACTGGCGTCCCCAAAACTGTTTCTTGCCTGTGGTGAATGCCACTTGTGTTTGTGTTTTGTTTCTTCCTGCCACTGAAAATCTTAACACAGGAGTAAGGCAGGTCTGCTGGAACCAAATACATGGCTTACAATTTATTTACTATCTCAGTTGGTCTGTCTCTTCTGTTTGCAATCCCCTTAGTTCACTGAGAGTGGACTGCAGGTTCTTTAATCATCTGGCTCACTTTATGATGTAGTGTTTCATGAATGGAGAGAGATATTTTTCCTGATTGGCTAGAGTACAAGAACAGGTCTCTGATCCAAGCCAATCAGAGTGCAGCTTGTGAACCCCAGCTCTGTGAGCAATGGTTGTGTAGTATATCCACATGCCTCTGGGGACATGACAGCGGGTGACACCGTTAATCATTTGGTGCAATAGGGAAAAGAATGCCGTAAACAGGATTAGTGTCCTGCCCTTCAGAATTAAGTGTCTCAGGTTTGCCTTTGTGGTTGGAGTTGATGGGAAGGTGACAAATGCATGTGGATATGCAGGCATTTCTACAGCTGCCAGAACAGATGGGGCAGTTCTTCCTCATCAACAGTGATTTGAGCACTGATAGCTCAGGCTCCTCTGTTCTCAGGGGCTGAAGATAGGGCTCTTTGACAAGCAACTCCCCAGCAGTTCTAATCAATATTGCATGGGATCAGTATGCATGTATTCATTGCTTAGATAATAAAATACTTCATGATTAACTATTCCAGTGGTTTCATGAGTGCCCTGATTGTTTAAGGGTTTCCTGTGCTGAAACTTTAACAGGAGTCAGTCTCTTATAGGTGTGAGGAAGGTAAGTATTTTCATGCAGTCTAGGGTACTGAGCCAGAGGCAGGAAGAGAGGTCACTGGAACCATAGAACTGTCACAGAGTCATAAGGCCTTTGTGCGATCTATGCCCAGCTGTCAGGGCATCTGGAGTGTTCCTTTCCTGAGAATCCCCAAGGTAGTTCCACAAGCTCCCTGAATCTTGAGTGTCTACGCTCTCATAGGGATTTTGCCAAGTGTATGTACATGAATGGCCCAAGAGAAGGTCCCTGATTGGTGTCCCGCTAACCATAGCTCCAAGTCCTGTGGCCCTTGGAAATGCTGCCCTCTTCTTTCTCAAGGGAACCCCATGAACTGTCAGTGCCAACGAATCAGCTACCATGTAGCCAGCATTTGAATGTACCAGGTGCCAGGCAGGGTGGTGGGTGCTTGGAGATACAGTTATGTGCAGAGCAAATTGGTTCATTTCATCAAAACAGACAGGTGCACAGGCAAGGACGATACAGTGAACTGAGTGCTAAGAATGTGATAGCTGGTTTCAGAATTTATGTGTAAATGGGATCTAGAGTGGCTGGCAATCATGATGGAAGGAAGGGCTGGAAACTGCATTTGCATAGTGCTGTACATAACACTGAGAAGAATAATTGAGTGTATTAAAGAATACGGGCAGGCTGAGAGAGATTGTGAGGCACTTTTAGCTGGGCCCTGGGACTGCAGCTGACATATCCATTGAGGGAACTGAGAGGGAGAGATTCATCCTGGTGGATCTCTGGTTGCTGCAAATAGAGATGGGTTGGAGCTCAGCAGGGCCTTTGCACAAGGTTGGAGT